GTTTTTTTTGCAAATCAGAACTATCATTTATTTAAAAAAAGTAAAAAATTTGGGCACTTCTCAGCGGTTTAAAAAAACCACCTTCGAAATTAAAAAATCTCCGCAAACCTTAAAACTAAATAATAATCATATGCTCATTACTAGTTTATTGAGTGGTAGATGTATTTCTTAAAACGTCTTTTTCCTATGGAACGAAAAGTAACTTTTCTTTCTGCCACCTAACCATCCTAATTGGGATATATATAGACACATCCTTATATCTATAGATCACCCATAAACCATTTTAAAATCTGATTTAATTTGAAATGGTTTAGATTATTCCGTTGGTATTTTTGACTAAAATCTGATATCTTAGTTGGGATATATGGACATCCTGTACCGCTTCAATAGAGCCATTATGACACAATTTGATATAGAATAGACAGAATGCGCGCATGTTTTCCTATTTGGGACTCGTCAAGTTGAATTAAATCTCATACCCGTTGTACGAGTGTCCATCTGGACTTAGTAGCTAAGTGGATAACGCGATGGAGCTTGAAGCATACAGCACCGGGTTCGAGTCTCGTAGTGAATATAAACTCCGGGATGCAGGTACATCCAACTGACGAGTCTCAAATAGGACAAAGCACACTGAATTCCGCTGCTAGTCACATACAACCCATCCAATATTCTTCTGACTGTTAGAATGTGTCGACGCTTTTATGTTCTCGACTTTATGAATGTGACATTTGCTCGGATTCGTATCTTGTTTTCCGAAAACCCTCTTTACTTAGAATATAAATTGCTTACCTTTTCTTGTTTGCACTCTTTCATTTGTCATATTTACATCTTATAATAATGATACCATTTTATATCAGTTGCTTGTATCACGTTCATAAATGTTTATATATTAGGCAAAGGAGTATCCAGAACCCAATATGCTACATGTAATGTCGTTTTCTCTATTTATTGGCTCGTGTTATAATCTCCAGTACATTTCAGAATCCATTTTTTTCAACTGACTTCATTAACCGGTAGAGTAATAATTGAGGGTTGTTAACTCGTTAACGTATTTGTTTTTATTTTTATGATGCCCATTTGGAATATTTTTGCATTGGGATTATTTTAATAAAAACGACTTCCTATATCTATGTCCCAAATATTTGCGCATCACTTCTTTTGGTTTGCATGTCCACAAGAGTATTTAAAAAACCTGGTCACTTGTTGCTATAGTTGAGTGAATAAAGAGTAGTGAGAAACTTTGAAAGCTATTGTTCGGTGAATTAGCATATATATTTTCAATGTATATCTACCAAGTATTTGATGTACGGTATTTTGATATTGTCTTATCCTTGGCTTCTTACTTACTGTTGCCATTTTTTTTTTCGTTTTTAAATTACCGTTAATTATTTATAAACGATTACTTTAGACTTTATATTTGAACCGCTATTTTCGAGTGAAGTATTTTCTAAACTTATTGCACTGAAATTGCCGCTTTCTACGAATAGCTTCTAACCGAATCGCCTTTCTATGTGAAGAGATTTCCATATACATCACATTAAAATCTTTGGTTTCTACCAACAGTCGTCATGCAAAGATCTTTGTACTTCAGGATTACACTTACTATGTCTGAAGGTTTAGCTTTTTGAACAGTGGGGTTAAAAGCCTTCTGTAAAACACTTTTCTATCGGAACTCCAGTCAATGAGAGCGTAAAGAGAAACTAATTCTCTATTTTGTTAGGTTCCTACCATACCATTTGTTGGGACAGCACATAAGCAGCTGTTTATCGGGATCTAATCCAAGGGAGCCTGTTGTACTTTGGAAATTAATACTTTACCTACGACAACGACGCTTTGAGAAGTAGAAGTCAAATCCCCAGATTTGCGAAGGGTAAATCCTGCCGATTTCTGTTACTGACTAAGTGGGATTAGACGAATGAATAAAAGACAGTTTTAGAGATGCAACATATTTCAATAGAACGGGATTCTGGAGCCCTAATTAGTGAAGTATATTGTTAGATTTGTGATAAGGTTTGGTGCGCATTTTCCGGAGATTACAAACAACACTTCATGCGGATGAAGATGAAAATATCAGAAAAGGATTGCTAGTAAGGACAGATGGAATATTAGGAAGAGAAGAAAAATTTAAACGTGGACAAGATAATATCAAGTGATTTTAAAGATGTGGGTCGATTTGTCACTTACCAATTCCTCACACTTAGGCATGGCTGATTACCATATTAGAGTAGAAGTTACAGTCGGATAATTCCTTATAAATTTTCATATAAATAATCGCTTGATACAATAAAGAGCCGATCCATGCTTTTTATTTATAGATAAAGAATGTCTTGTTTGCACCTGCTAGTGTCACCCTTACCATAAATTATTCTTAATCCCATTAATTACATCTTTTCTCATGATTAGGTGTGGTTAAAGTTCATGTAAAAAACTAGTTACGTTTTTTGCTTACTATCTTCTTACTGTTATTGCCATTAATTTTTATTTATTCGTTAATATCGTTTCTTGTTTAATTCACCGTTTTTTATCTGTTGTCATTATTACTGTTAGTAATATTATTAGTAGTATAGTATGACCTAATTGGTAGGTGGCAGACATAGAAAATATATAAAAATCTCACATTATCTGTTAGAACATTTGATAGTCGATGTTCGTGTACATATTTCGAATTAACACGTTTTTTAAAGGTATCTGTGGTAGCAACTTACTGCTTATGTCAGAGTAGGAAGAGAAGAGTTCCAACCTGCAACCAAATAGTATAAATACAACCGACAACGTAGTACATACCGACTTTTGATTGCTTTAATCAAGTCAGCACAGCAAGAAAATATTAAAATAAAATAATGAGACTAATGATACATAAATTAATAAGGAAGAAAACCGCGTATAAAAATTCAATGGGAGTTTAGTAAAATTTAACAGGTCCACACCATTATGAATTTAAAGTTATTTGAAATAATACATTAGTTTCTAACTAAAATGTGTATGACAAAGTGTAAAATTTAAATAAAAAGGAATACATTGTAAGATGCTACCGTAACGTTAATTTCGAACTATGTTACCTATGATCTCCAATCATACATTACTACTCTCTCAAAAATCCTGACAAGGAAGCTTGGAACATAATATATGTCTCAAATCATCCGTCAATGTTTTCATAAATTGATTAGAGTTATCTAATGATCTGTGGTTGAATGGTTTTTGTGAACAAGATAGTGTTTAAATATGGGATTATGGGAAAGTTTTGTTAAAGCTTGAGTTGATTATTGATATGATAAGCGAGAATTAAGTCTGATAGTTAGATTTCAATTTCCTAGGCGGTATTGGATTTAGGAAACTAACACCATGTAGTTAATTGTATTTTAAGTACCTTTAACATTACGTGTATTTTTTATTCGATGTTTTGTGTATAAATGCATTCTATCTTCTGATATCTTTACATCATGTGAGAGCTTTATGTCAAAGGATGCAATCTCTGCTTTGTCATGATTCACATCAGCTCATGAGAATCGATCATCTATCTACACAAGAATACCATTTTCTTCTGTTGTGACAGTTATTTTGCTGTCAAATCAATCGATACTCATAGGAAGAAATATGGTATTAGAGTGCTATGTCATACTGGGTTTCCGACTCGAAAATTATGTAGTTGCTTCAACGTTCCACTCGTCGAAATGTTTTGACGTTATTTTATTAGAACTTGTGATCATCATGTATCTATCTTTTACACTGCTTACTCTATGTTGTAATTTGACAATTAGCCGTTCATTTGAACGTTAGGATATCGGTTAGTTAGATGTTTTCGCTTATTGCTATTCACATTTGTTGGAGTTATCATTGATTATATCCTATGTGAAGATCTGCTCCCTCCCTTTGGTTATCAGTCTATGTAACTAACCAATAATGACATAATCAAATTATAACTAATATTTACAAGCCAATACGTGAACAATTAATCTATTTTCTTTTATATTTTTCCTCTATTTTATTTTTATTATACACTCGTTTTGGGTTGTCTTTGCTACATCAAAACTGTATAAATCATAAAATTAATCTATATCATCAGCACAATTCATTGAATGTAAATTGTGAAGCTAATTCTGATGGAGATGGTGTTGTATCAGGTTGGTCGAATCCATTTTTTGAACCTGTTGTTCCATGGCGTAGAAGTTCACGTCAGTATCAACATAAAACACGTCGGATTCATAGTTTTCGTAAGAAATTCTCCTCTCGTCATCAGCGAACAACTGATTACAACAACAATGATAATTATAATGATGAGAGAATCTGTATCAAGAGTCCATTGGATATTAGAGCTTCACAGAGTACCGGAGATCTGGTATTGTTCATATTAGATGTGTTTCTGTGTTCATTGTTTGGCGAGTTTCATCTCTTTTTTTATTTCACCTCATTTTCCGATCACTGAATGTTTCACATTTCCATGCCTTCTATCACATACGCATTATACATCTTTGATTTTTTACTCTTTAATAATCTTCATATACGTGTTTATGGCTTAGTGTTTTGTGCGTAGTTTGTTATCTGTCTAAATTTTGCTTGTTTGTTTGTTTCCATCATTATTAAGCACAGATACACAAGCAAATGTAGTTTGATTACAATCATGATTGTTGATAATTCTTCTCATGGTTTATGTGTCCTGGTTATTTTTTTATATATTAAACATACACGTCTACTATTTGGTAGACAAATATAATGAGTGCACACAAGGTTACTGCTATTTATAGTATTTAACTATCATGATTTGCTTGTCATGGTACTTAAGATAATGTAAGTTCAATCTTGTATAAAGTTGTAAATATGTCTTTCTGGAAAGTGCTCAATTTGAATGAAGTGGCTATCATTTACTTCCTTCAGTTCTAGCATTTCTCCAGTTGACATCAGTTTATGATGTAAATTATCTACTGTATATTCAACAGCTAATTATATTTTAGCATAAATTTTAACTCATGTTCTTATTTCTTGCTTCCGCTTTTATGTCTTAGAGCGTTGTGAATTTAAAAACAGTAGCGGATTTATGCGAACCAGCTCGAACCAAACATCAGAAAGCAAATAATCAAGTCACGTGGTAAATAATATTTTTTTGTTTGTGTTCAAAAAGTTTTTCTTTGAGTACTCTCGTTTCTATTTGAATGTTAATCATTTACTTCGAATTATATATTTTGTGTGTTGGACAAGTGATAAGTGTACAGTTTAGTTATCCTTTTTTTCATTGTACTAATTTGTTGAAGATAATATGATATATATATATATATATATATATATATATATTGACCAGATTATTACATGATCTTTAAAAAGTAAAGTAATAAATTGAATCACCGAATCTAAGAACCAATGGAGCCTAATCAATCATTTCGACATTTCGTTGTCAGACCTGGTTTGGTTGTAGTGGACGCTACTCACAAGATTATTTGTAAGTAGTGTGTTGTGAAACGTGACTTAGAAGTTGCTACAATTGTCGGATGAAGTAAAGAGTTCCAGTAAATCGAAAGTACGGAGTTGTCAGAACACACTGATAGATTAGTTATTTCAGTATTCTCTGTAAGCAGATAAATCTTATTATTGCAGCTGGTACACCTTAAATGGACACACACACATACACAGAAAGGCGCAAAAAGTTAATACTATTATTACCAACAATAATTTACTGAGAGAATAAATCTGTTAACGAATCGATTTTGTAGGAATGGTCATTTTCTGTTTTTCTCTTCACATTAGTGCACTTTCGATAAATGTCTAAAATATGATGAGTTAGTTTTTCTTAAACAAATTGTATTCACTTATATTTCTCATTGGACTAAGGAAACAACATTATTAATTACTACAGTTAATTTTTATTTCTTCAAATCCACAATAGAAAAAGAAAAAATGAAAGCACGATTGATTAGTTATTAATATAGTGTAGAATAAAGAATGATATATGTATTTTCGAATAAAATAAGTGGCGAAATCTCAATCCGAAGAAGCGAAGTTCTCCGTTGTGTTTACTGAACAAATATAGACTTGAACAGATTTGACTAACAAATGCCAACTAGTACGAAATCCTACGTCTAAGCAGTAATATGGTTTAGCTCTAACCATCTGATATCAAAATAGATTAGCGTTGTTACAAATGCGTGATTGACCGATAAAACTGCTCAAATGGCTGAAGTAAACAAATTGTTAATTTGCTCATATCATTAATTCCTGATGCTCAGTCTAACTGGTTTTAAATAACTTGTTTCAGCCATGCTTCATCTTGTGTGGTGGAGGTAGCTTTAATGCACTATAGGTCCTTGGACGTACACGGAAAATTGTCTATCAGCCGATTACATAAATCTATATATTATTACCTAGTTGTAAATATACATTCAAGTACTGATGTTAAAACAACTCTTGCGTCGGTTAAGTGAAATTATTCAGCCCTTTTAGTATTTACACTTACAATTGGTAATCATCAGAACAGTTATGTCACTGACTACGCGAAACTCACTGATTGAATGACAAAATGAGTTTTTTTGTCTCAACAAAGTGTCATATTTCATCGCCTAGTTGAGATCGATAACATGGCTTTTCGAAAAGTGAAATCTCCCCCACCATGTGTTTATAATTAATACGTATGCACTTGCGTATCAGTGTTATACTTTATGACATTATTGAAATATGAGAAAGAGTTTTACGATGTTTTGCTATTAAATTAGGGTTTATTTCAAATTGCGATGTGTATTTTAACAAACATGGTTGGTAGTGTAGGTTAGAAACTGATTTTTCGGTATTTAACGGAACAAAACGGTCCAATTATCATGATGATCCGCACGATTTTGTTTGTCTTAAAAATGTAGTTTGGCTAAATGGTCTAAATAAATTTGTAAATTGGTTAATAATTATTAATGGTTGCACTATATTGCTGATTAAAATTAGACATGTACACCATTGGATAGCACCTCAGTGATCTCGTGGTTGAGCGCGCGACACGAAACCGTAGGTCCTGGGTTCGTTCGGACTACATAGGTGTCTCATACTAGGACCAAATAGCTATCTGATGCTTTCCCGTTTTCATTGGTTATCTAATTGAAATCAATTCCTGAGGTAAAAGTAAAATAATTGTTGAAAAGTGCTTTTAACCATGTCATGCCTACTGCATGTGCTAGGTTTGAAGCTGTCACCAGTTCACTTAGTATGCGTCCGGAGCAAAGACTTGTGACCGTAAACCAATAAGCTAGCTATTCGATGCGTTCCAGCCCCGCTAACTAGAGGAAGAAGTCCAAGCTTGGAACGGGAAAGTATATTCCGTAAGCCAGAAGCACTAGTGAATAATAACAGACACAAACGTATTTATACAGCATAAAACTGTCTTTGGGAAGCGTTGCAAAAATAGCATACTAAAAATACACAACGGACCAATAGCGTTAAAGATTCTTCCAAGTGGGAAATACGACATGAAGGTGAAAAAAGCGCTTTTTGCGCGAAAACAAGGTAATTTAAATTGCCAAAATAAAACTACAAAATTAAGGCATTTACCAAGTGAGTTCTGGGAATCTAACATCCCCAACAGCATGATAGACACAGTTATATATTTTTATTCAGTTTCTAAAACTGAATACATATTTAACAGTTGCAAAGTATACCTCGTTCTGTTTCACAGAGAATGATAATGATTTTAAAGTTCATTATAACATGTCTGTTAATTACTTCACAAAGACTAGTTGATTATCTTGATTTCTAAACTTACTATTTAACATCCGAAACAGAATTCGGATCATCATCACCTGACTATTATAGTCGGCTACCTGGAAAAAGACTTTTAGATATTGGGTATACGGATATCATTGTCTTAATGTGCGGTGAATCATACATTATAGAATTTGCAATTAATCAATTAACAATTAGTAGTATCCGTTAGTATAGCATGTAATTTGTACCTTCTAAATGCAATGTACTTCTACAAGATTGACAGAATCCTTTATCTCCAGTTTCTCTTGGTAGTGAGCCTTTAGAAGAAGTCAGAAAGTTTGAGTATTCGAGTAGTAGTGTTGTTGTGAAGGAGAACGCAGGTGAGGATAACTGATTGTATTTAGCACAAAAAATCTGAATACCATAAAGTCAATCGTCAATTTGCAAAATATCAATGCATCATATCAAACTGGACTGTTTCCGTCGCAAACACTAATCCATTGTCTCCCATTCCATTGTACATGCATTTTCTTACAAATTCCATTGTGTTCTCGCTCTTGCTTTCTTGATCTTCACCTCATCTTCTGCTGCCAGATATTACGTTTTAACTCGCGTGATATACTACTTACATCAATATAAGTAGCACGCACCACAGTGTGAGTGCTGGTGGTTACATGATAGATCAAATCAACCTACACATATTTAAAGCCAGAGAGGTTTATGCTAATTTGGGCTATATTTAGAACATTCGTGATGTTTTTTTGACTGTAAAAGGTTGGGTGTATTAGATGTCGGTGAGAGCCATCCAGTTCATGGCTTATGAAACCCCCTTCTCCAAGTTGAGGCTATTCAACAACTATCCGTCTCTGGTCATCGTTATCTCTGAAGGATTGCTGTTATTTGGTGCCAACTCTACAATAATAGTGTTGAGATTCGGAAATGTGTATTCAGACATAGTGATAATAATTCATTTAGTGTTAGCGTTTTCAAAAAGAGATTTCGATGAACCGGCCATGTGTTGCGAATGCCATCCATGTGGCTTTCTATATCAAAGATTATTTGTCAATGCTGTGACTGGTTTGAAAAAATGTAAAGGCAACTAGCTTATAAATGGCTCTGTGATATGGCAAAAGACCATATTTGACTGGGATCTGTCGATTCATTAAAACGTCCAGGTTTGGGGTCCTAGAGATAGTGTAACGTGGTTGCTTATTTATTGTTTATTATATTTTGGTGCTTGGCTGTACCGGAATGCGAGTTTAAAAAAATGACGAAATCTATTGTGCGTAACTGGTTTTACAGTTATCACCATCAAATTATACTGAACTTAAAAGACTATAGAAGAAAAATATATTTATAATAAAGAAGGAGATCTGTTTCAAGGAGACTTAAGTTCATATCAAATCTTTAATATTAAAAGTTACTCATAGAATCTGTTAAGATTTATGGTTTATGTAATTGGTTTCTGTTTGATTTGATGAGTTCAACTAACATCAGCTTCCAAAATTTCTGTAGTTCTGTTTTTTTTTATTTACTTTTTCTATCTAGTCTGTTTGACTCGAAAAGGAGAGCAACTCATAATTCTAGAATTACTGGTAGTATTAATAGGTTAAGGGACAATGCTATTACAGATCCTAGTGATTTCTCTGACTCGAATTCTGAATTAGGAAATAATGGTCATGGAAATGACAAAATAACTATCAACAATAACACTTATATACGACAATTTAGAATTCATCCAACCACTGACAGTGATAATGTAGCCTATGCATCAACATCTGTCCTAAATGGAGTACCTCAGTCTGTGGCATCGTCATGTCAATCTCCTGATGCTTCCAGCTGTAGTGCGGTTGCTGCTGTTCTTCCTGTTACGACGATAACAACAACAACAACTCATACTCCTTCACCATCTCTTCATTCTCGTTCTGACTCTCAAGCGAAAGGCTTATCGTCTGTTCATGAAAGGTCTTCCATCCCTCTTTATTATCTTACTACATCAGGAAAGTCAATGGAAAATGGTGGTTCATCTAAACAATTATTAAAACAGGATAAATTATTTACTGCTCCTTTAGCTGAACCAGAAACTGGTTCTATTGTAACTCCAGTTGAATCATCTTCACAGTCAGCGTTAACCTCATCACGCAGTCAACTACCTGAACCATTGAATGGTCAAATGCCTACTTTAAAACAAAATTCATTCACTAATAGATCTACAATTAATAATAATGATGATTATAGTAAATGTTCAACAATAAATGGAGATTCTCACCATATTAATTTAAAGTCTAATCACAATAGTAACACAATCTATTCTCAAATGAATTCATCTTATAATCATTTCGAATTAAAAAATTCTGATCAAGTTTTATATGATCATAATAAAAATCTCTTAAAAAAACATGAACAGCAAGGACTTTGGTACTCACAACTACAAAAGTGTCAACAACAGGACCAGTCATTACGTCATCACCTTAAACACGAACAACAAGTGACTGAAGGCATAGTCGATAATATTGATTCCACTTGTTCAATATCCTCTAGTTCTTATCACAAACAAGATGATGATGATAATAATAATAATAGACAGTCAAAAGAATCACAGATCGTTGCTATTGGTGATTGCAATGCCTTGTATCCATTTACAGGTAACGAGATGGAGATTCTACTTTATATCGTTTTTCAAATTTTCATTTATATTTTCAAAATTGTGTTAGTAGTCATTTTTATACTCCTTTGAGTCATGATGTAATCATCTAGTCAGTAATGTAGGATATTAGTCGATTGATGAATTTGTAGATATTCACTTACACTACATTAGTATGACATGTTTCTCATATTTTTCCATTGATTTTCCTGTATCAGATTTTATAGTTCTTGCTTATCATCTGATAGTCTGAGTATGAACCTCGATACTGTTCAAACCCACAGCCAGTTGTTTCATAGTCGGTCGGAGTAGACCTTCGTTTAGCAGCCTTGAAGCCCAGTTAATTTATGGAAGAATATTATTCTCTTTTTAGGCTACACAAATCATTCATTGATGTCCGTTATAGACGACTAAGATTCATAAAACCTATTCTAATCCACTGAAATTTTAACATCGGAAAGCCTGATTGCTTTGTAAAGTTGACATTGTTAGATTCTAGAATCATCACATCTCTAGGTCGTAAAATTCAGGATTAATTATCATCCGACTTCTCAACTTTGCATCTTATTTCCAGTTTTTCGCTTTTGAATAATATATTGACAATATAATATATTTTATGAATAGTTCATTTACAAAATTCATTCAGAAAGTCAACATGAGTTTGAAAGCGTGAAGAGATTTCACTTCTAAAAATTATTTTTCACAGTTGGGCATATTTAGATCTAGATGGATCAAAATGTAACTAGATCAACTTCAATCCATAAAATGCCAGATTGTACTACTATTATTTGTTTACATTAGGACTCAATGACTCATTCTTTGAATCGTCATAAGTAAAACTCAAATAATCATTCTATTATCCTTATTTCAATTATACAATATATGAAAGAATGCGGAAAACTTGGTCTTAAAACTTCACTCATAATGCCAACAGATCAATAATACCTGTCATTATTGATTTTTTCGTAGAATATAAGAAAAAAAATTTCATTAAATAATATGTATAACATCACCTTACAATGTATATTATTTGTGTGAATATGTTTAGAGCAGCATCATTAAATTGGTTGATTAAATAAAATGCTTTTGTAATGGATTAATTACTGTATCATTACTATTTATCTTCAAGTGGTTTGATGAATTCACTATTTGTACATAGTGATTCAATTTTATGTATAGTACTAACCAAAGAAGAAGAGTGACAAATGTATTTTGATGCATAAAGCACTTCAATTACAAGTGAATAACATGTAATTGAAATTAGAATAAATTTTGTAATTATAATATTAGAATTTTGTAATTGATTGAATAGAAACATATTTTAGACATGGTTTGTATTGCATTCGATCCAATAGAGAATGCGAAACAATTGGTCTCTTTAATTCATTTGTTATTGGTTGCTTGAATCTTCCTATTGATGTTTAGGACTGAAATTGATCAGTTTCATGCCGTCTAGATTTTACACTGAACAGTTATATCACATCCTACTATACTCATCAGTTTACATGTGTGTGTGTGGCCACACATGTGGAGAGAGAGAGTAATCGTGATTTGCAAATTAGGGTGTTTGAACATGCACTTATATGATTGAAAAAGTAAACACAGTTAAATAACCCGATAACAGTAGATGATAAACATCCATGGTCCTCCATTCTCAAACATATAATTGAAACAGGTCATAAGATTAATCCTAACATGGCTTTTGTAATGGTGTACAAAAGTGTTAAAGGGCGTATACAAGAGTTTATTGAAGCCTCGGCCATACAAAAGTTCAAACTCCCTTTGTTAACTCAAAAACAGTTTGTTCTGACCGTAAACCTACCCTGGTAATATTAATTTATTATCCAGCGTAGTAAATTTCAAATTGTCTTGAACATTATTTTTCTTACTTTCTTTGTTCCCTTTTACTTTCCATTTGTCGGATAATCTTTGTTTTCTTATTACACTATCCAATAGAAATGTACTTTTTCGTTAGCATTGTTTCGATCAATTTTTCATATCGGTTAGTTAGGCAGTGAGTTTTCATCGAATAACGTGTCTGGGACATATGCCACTTATATCAAACCATAACCTACCTTGACGTACGATGTAGAAGTGGATTGGAAGTTAGCTAGGGGTCAAACCAATAGGTGACATCATTTCAAAAGGTGAATACTATCTCGTTAGAGTTTACGTTATAATCGTAGTCATTATTTTCAGTGTTCAATCCTTCTTACTTTTATTGCGTTTCACTTGCAATTAATCTTGTTAATTTCACCTGGCTTTTCTAATATGGCAGCGTTGACCGATTCACGTATGTGTTAAGTTCTACGTTAACTGACTGAATGGTTTGTATTGTAGGTATATAAAGTCTAAAATTAGTTTACACTAAACACTTGTTTATTTCTATGCAAATCTAATTTTTTGTTTGACGTGAAATGAGTTCAAGTGTGATATGTACCTTTTGCATGTATATTTGTATAATATCGTTACTAAAGATTTAGTGAACAAATGGAGCCTTTAACTATGACTGGAAATATATTAATTATTTTGTTATAAAACTAAGCGTACGTTTGATTAAATAGAATTTATCAAGGTATGTGTTGATGAAGAATAGTTGAATAGTGTGTTTTAATGTTGATGAAAAGTAATTGGAGATAAATTCAAACATATTAATTGGCTTATTAGTGAAAGGTTCACCATTGTTGGACTCTTGTTACTGATCGTAAATATAGGGGTGACTGTAGAAGAAAATGTTTTTATTTGCTAATAACAGTTGCCATAGTGTAGCTATATATATCCTTTAACAAATATCCATTTATTTATTTAAACACACAAACATTGGTACAGAGAGGCTCCAAATATATATGCGCAGCACAAACCATCCGATTCTTCTAAGGGCTGGAATACTGCCCGGACCCCAATGTCGCACCAGGTCGACTCCGTAGGGAGCTACTCCCTGAGCCTTTTACCTAGAGATCTAATCTACAAGGCAGTGGATCGACGTCAGGAGATGCAGTCTCATGGTAGCCGGTGATCAACATTTGTTTCCTTATGATCCTAGAGCCCATGTGCACTATTGGTTTGAAATCAGGGTTTTCCAACTACCCTAGGTGAACTCTCAATATCAACCAACCAGGTTAAAGCACCGGATATTTCGCTTTTCTTCCTCTCAATTTCGTAAACAACAACCCCGTCTCGAGTAAGCAGTGAGTAGGACTTTCCTGGCAGTGGTTGTATACACGTGGTCATGTATTATTATTATTATTTGAACACATGAATATTGGTACAAGAGAGCGCCAATATATATGCGTCACACAAAACAATGAGAATTCGAAGAGAAATAGAAAAAAAAACTAAGGAGCGCAAAAAAAGAGAAAAATAACGAGGAGATTGCTGTAAGGTAGTATGGTAGAAATGAGGGAACGGAAAGGTACAATCAGAAGAAATCTTTCAGTTAAGGAAGATACAACCACTTTTTACGAAGAAAGTAAAAGAAGGTTACAGCAGGATCGCCACTGGCTTCTATTCTGAGCCATATCTGATAACGTCTCTAGCCACTGTGTAGCACCATCTCTCAGACCCCAGCCAGGGAGTCGTGAAGGACCAACACAAGCCAGTCCTTTGCAGCTTTCTTTCATACCACGACACCATGTCATGCACTGACCACCTCTCCGCTTCTTCCAACCAGTCCCAGAGTCGGCAAATAATGCACGACGTGGACTTCTCTGAGACGACATTCAGAGAACATGTCCAAACCGCCGAAGTCGGTGTTTCAAGATGGTGACATCGATTGCATTATCATCTCTGTGCCCGAACACACGATGCCGAACCTCTGGATTACTGACATGGTGTTGCCACTGGATGTCAGCAGTCCTTCGGAGACAGCAATGATCGAACACAGAGAGTCGTCTAACATCCTCAACTCGGAGGCCAGGTTTCACAAGCATAGAGCAAAACTGCTCTCATCGACGCGTTGTAGATCCGGCCTTTTACAGCCAGACTAACATCATGAAGGCGCCAAAGATGGCCCAGATTGGCATAAGCCGCTCTGGCTTTCACTATACGTTCATTGATCTCATCACTCACACCCCCACCAGCACTTATGCAGCTACCTAGATACACGAACTTTTCGACTACTTCCATCTGCTCACCATCCAGGGTGAGTACAGGATTGGAGTCCTGCCAGTCTTGTAGAAGTACTTTGCACTTCGAAGGTGCAAGCACATACCATACCTACGGACACTGATCGCCAACTGATTAAGTGCGGATTGCATGGCTTGGGCACTATCGCAAATTAGGACAATATCATCCGCATACTCAAGGTCGAAAAGTCATTCTCCAGGCGACGGATCCACACCGCCATTACTTACATCCATCAGAGCTGTTTCCCGAATGTCATCGATGGCAAAGTTGAAGAGGAATGGTGAGATTGGGCAAACCTGTCTAACCCCACTGCTCGAATAGAACAATGGAGAAAGGTGGTTGTATTCCCCAACACTCTGCCTGAGGTGTTTGTATATAGGGCTTTTAGGATGTTAATGAACTTCTCAGGCACACCCTTCTTCAATAGACAGTCCCAGAGAACAGTCCTGTCCAACGAATCGAAGGCAGCCCTGATGTCATTAAACACTACGATTGTTGGCCTTTGATAAATATGACGGTATTCTAACATTTGACGGAATGTGAAGATATGATCAATACATCCTCGACCAGAACGAAACCCAACCTGCTCCTCGCGAGTCAATCTTTCTCGGGTTTTGAGCAATCTACGAAGTTTGACGGAAGCCGATAGTTTGGATGCAATCGGAAATAGACTTATCCCCCGATATTTGTTACAGGAACGACGTGAACCCTTTTAAAAGATAGGGACAACTATCGACTCATTCCATGACGTTGGTACACTCTTTAGCTCCCAGATTTTTGTAAACGTCGTCAGTTTCTTAGACAGAAAGTCACCACCATCTTTAAAAAGGGTTGGAAGTTCCTTGAGGACTTCCGCCTCATTCTGTGGATCAGTCGTCACCGGCCATGGAGGGCAGGACAGTCCGACCGATGTTGTCGGAACAGCAGGCCAGTTGAACTGCCCTTCCCTGGCGGTCGCTGTATACACGTGACCATAGGAGAACATTTTGAGAGGGGGAGCGGACTTTCCCATCCTCTGTCGTATCAGGGCGTTTGGGGGGCATAAATGAGTAAGAAGGGAGTCGCTACTGATAATCTTGATGCCGTGCATATTGTGGATGGTTTTGATTGAAGTGGTTTGCGGCCCTCTCTGGATTGATGTAGACAGGTTCACCCCCACCAGCCAGCTCCATTCACTTCTCCCAATACCCTGGTACAGCCGAGGGTGGTGAGAGTTAGCTCTTCCTCTCGAAATGCTCTCACATGACCACGTGTATACAACCACTGCCAGGAAAGTCCTACTCACTGCTTACTCGAGGCGGGGTTGTTGTTTACGAAATTGAGAGGAAGAAAAGCGAAATATCCGGTGCTTTAACCTGGTTGGTTGATATTGAGAGTTCACCTAGGGTAGTTGGAAAACCCTGATTTCAAACCAATAGTGCACATGGGCTCCAGGATCCTGAAGAGACAAACGGCGTATGAACCAATCGTCGATCACCGGCTACCATGAGACTGCATCTCCTGACGTCGATCCACTGCCTTGTGAACTAGACCTTTAGATCAAAGGTGATAAGTCGTGTAGGTTAAACGCTATAACGATTCATAAGCTATTTCGGTAACCTGCAGTCTAGAACTACACAGCGACTTGAACTCCAGAGAGAAGACACAAGAATGAGAAAAAACACTTTATTCCAAGGTTCATTTTTGTACAGAAAATCAAGGGTATTTATAGATGTTGGCGTCTGTTAAATTAACATCATATTTCAGCCAATCCGTTAACGTCATATTATGCTACCGACCAATGGTAGCACGCCACGCTGGAATTCTCGAACGTTCCATCATACTCTGATTGGCTAGGCCCTTCGGCTCCTTTTTGGGCCTCTGGAGGCTCCGTTGAAGTTCTCCGGAAGCCGACCCAACAAAAGGCCTTTGGGTGTGGTCCCTTAAGAAAACCACTTACGTCGGTCTGGACACCCGAGCAGTATCACATCCCTCACACAAATTAAATGATATTTTGTGTGGTGCATATGTATTTGGTGCCCCTTTGTACCAATATTTGTGTTCAAATAAATAAAATAAATACCACTGATGGCCGAACGCGCCATTCACTGCGACATTGTATTCAAATAAACATATTATATAAATGTGTTAATAATAATCTAATCTGTTTTATATTTACTTTTTTTCGAATAAAATGATTACCAGGCGATGGTTTTGAATCGTGTTACTTAGCATTTGAGGCTGATGAGCAATTTTATATTTTGGCAACTGATCCAACGGAAGATACTACTGACTGGCTTCATGTATGTCGTAAACAGCGGATACATGAAATTGGTTATGTTCCTACAGCATATGTTCAAAAAAATCTTTATTTTCAACCAGTTTTATTGCCGAAATCAGAATATGTACAGCTGCAAGATTCGGATTCATCATCAACTACCACTAGAACAGCTACTTCTACTACACCGACGTTGAAAAAATCTGTGAATACAACACAAACATCTGCGAGAAGTCCAGTAAATAGTGTCCACAGTAATAAAAGTAATTATTCTGGTATGTTGATGATGAACAGAAATTTCAGAGGTACTTCTCCTTATGTTCGTTTAAGTGGAGTTTCACGAGATACTGACTTATGATGAAATAAAGAAACTTGATGAATTCATTTTTCCCTTGTTTATGCCTTATTATTATTACCATGTTAATTTTTTTATACATAACGAACGTATGCTCATGGGTATACTTTTTTTAAACAATGAACCATATCATTTTCACTATTCACTTCTATAAACAATTTCCAATTAGTATTATTTTGTTTCTTATCTGTATCTTTAAAATACGATGATCGGCAGTATTACACCATCCTCCAGTCTCCCTATTTGTACATATGGATATATACAATCACTTTTTGTTATATGTTACACTGATGCCTTAATTTTTCGAGAGAAATCATTATCATTTCTTTATCCTTATGTGTTTTTTCCACACTATTTATGCAGTAAATTAGGTTTCTCTCTTAGCAGATTTCTTATACACCATTTACACTTGCAAGCTGTATCACATACACACACAAACACATAAGACAAACATTTATTTGATAGTTTCCATTGTACTACCTACTTTTTTCATTCGAAATTATTTTAGATGATATAAAAAGGAATTTCATTTTATCCAATATTAAAACTTCCACTAGTGAATATACTACGACACACTGATAAACTGTCTTTATTACTTTTGTCAGTTGACTTCTATGATTATACAGTAATTGAGATAATCTGTTTTCATTGTTAGTTTAATCCAGTGTTTTTTTCTAATCAAACTTGTAGGCGACATTTCACCTCTTCTATATAACATTTTGCCTTATTGTGGATAGTATACATGTCGTACTATGTCAAACACTGTCTTGTTTAGTCTGGAAATAATAATGATTTGGTGTCTATTACTGATTTCTTATGTATGTAGAGTCGGATAGTATTGATTATTCAAATATCTCTGCTCTTCTAACCTATTCTAATCGTTTGACAGTCAAAAGTATGCTCGCCTAGATAGATTTAGTCTGTTCCGTTTGTGGAATTACACCAATCGTGTTATGATGTGTTTCAAGGCAATCACCATGTATGATTACTTGTCAAGTTGCTCATGACATTTCACTCGCTAAGGTTCTGGATTATTAGATGAATATAATACTTTCCTGAGTCATTTTAATTATTGACTTGATACAACCAAACTGGTAAGACAATTTTCTGCCAAAACATGTTTGAGGTCAGGAAGGACTCGTGAGATACCTTTGCAATGATCAACAGTAATGTAAAAAGAGTTTGATATATGCCATATATGCATGGAACAAACGTTCATTCTTACAGAATGAACAGCAAGCAACATCACATTTTTCGACCTTATTATCCATTTATGAAGTTCTAACCATAATGTATTTTGTAGTTTAACCGTAGATAATGAACTGTGATGACCATCAATTGCACCTTCCAATAATTATGTTTGAACTAGTTCATTGATACTAAATAACTACTTTTTGGTGGAGATTTGTTGTCTGAAATGGATGGTTTAGTCGTGGCGCTTTCATCGTAGTTCTGAACGACATCAACAAAAACTTCAGGTAGAAAAGAAATGTTTGAAGTTCTCCACACATGGCTCACAGCTTGTCATGTGTAGATCTCAACCTTGATTGGCTATTGTTGATTTTGAACCTGTCATCGTTTACTTCCTTATTTTGATTGTATCTCCAGTTGATTTGATTCTTAGTCCTACATTTGTCCATGATTTTTCTGATTGGTTGATGAATTGGGTCGATTTCACTGTGTTTATTGACTGCTGGTTGACCTAAGTTTCAAAAATTCCGTTGTTTTTAGGATTGCCTTTATCCAAGATCTCAACATTTTTTTCAGTCGAATGTGTCCACATTTGCTCATATGAGTCATGGCGTTTGACTGCTAATCGTTGTTCTTGCAAATGAAGGTAAAGGGGACGTCCGCTTGGTTCGATGTAGTGTTTTTCGCATTTGGAACAATTTATTTTGTAGATGATGTTCGATTTTTATTTTGTCATTTCGTCCTCTGGTTTGCATAGGATTGATTGAAGTTATTTTTAGAGGGGTTTTGTGGAGATTTTAGAAATTTCACTGGTTAAAATCATGAGTCAATTGAAGCTAGACCACCGTGGAAAACCTGGGAGCACGGGGCGGCCGTTCCGTTTTATTATGGGACTCCTCAGCAGTGCGCACACACGACCTCGCCCCCTGCGGGATTCGGACCCAGGACCTACTGGTTCCGCGCGCGATCACTTAACCACTAGACCACTGAGCCGGTATACAACGGTGTTAATGTCTAACTCCAACCAATCCACGAAGTTGCGCCACCGTACACCATTGTCTTCAGTGAGTTGATATCTCACAACAGACCTGGTTGAACTCCACGGGTTACGGCTTCTCTCTAGAACTCCAGGAGTATTATTTTGTTGGTTTATGTACTACACCTATTCCCAAAGGCTCCAACAATCCGGTTGTAATTTCTGATATATCTTTTATATACAGTAAAACTTGTTTGTTGTTTTCTGTGTCCAGTCATCTTACATTAAACCGTAACACATGAATGAATGCCAGTTGAGTCAACAAACAGAAAAACTCATTGACTTGTGCTCAATAATCGATCCCCACCACTAACAATTATACAGAGAAATTATGATTTCAAGGAGCATCTCATTACTGTCTACAGGTATGATGCAGTGTTTTCAGTGGACACTCGATCTAATCAATCTTACTGTTCTTTCACTTCAAATGGATGAATTAAATTGGAGTTTAATTCCCAGAGTCTCTTAGACCTCGTTATATGATTTTGTAGAAAGCATCAACATTTTAACAACTTAAAATAATGGTAGAAATAATTATATTCATTAAATCCTGACATATACAATTATTGATGGGAGCGACCGTATATATCAATTTCAGATCATCACTGGACAGCTGGAGAAACTGTATTACAAAGGCCAACACATAATTTTAACTTTTGAATAGACCCGCCTGGACACTTAGACACTCCTACAGATGTCACTCCACCAACGATCGAAGAAATCAGCATGGACATCAGATAAATCAAGAGTTGGAAAGCAACAGGACCTGACAATGTACCAGCCAAAGCACTAAAGTCACACAAAGAAGTAACAGCAAACATGATCCACGTTCTATTCAAAAAGATTTGTGAGGAAGAACAAGTCAGTCAGTCACAACAAAACAAGAAGAACAAGTGTCACAGACAGACTGGAAATAAAGATATCTCACCAAGTTTATTTATTATAACACATAAATGTTGGTACAAGAGGGGACCAAATATATATGCGCCAAACAAAATAATGAGAATTCGAAGAGAAAAAAGAACAATAACGAACAGATCAGTATAAGGTAATGTAATAGTAATAAAAGTAATAATGGGGGAAACGGAAAGGCACAATCAGAAGAAATCTTCCAGTTAAGGAAGAAACAACCATTTTTTAATGAAGAAATTAAGAAGTCACAGCAGGATCGCCAATGGCTTCTATTCTGAGCCAGGACATACTATGGGACCACTCCAGTCATTCGGTAATCTACTCTGGATTGAAGATAGATTAAAACATACTTAAAGGACTTGTGTTGAAGTGTGCCAGTTGCTTAGTACCTTTCAATGCATTTCATCCGATTCCATGAATCTTCTTACTAGTTTAATTGGTGTACAAATGAGGTCGAATTCTTCGCTATTCACAACCTCCAGAGCGTGTGTGGCAGGATATATTTATTTTATTTATTTGAACATAAATATTAGTACAAAGGGGCACCGGATACATATGCGCCACACAATAATAATGAAAATGGGAAGAGAAAAAAGGTGAGGAGCGTGAAGAAAGAACAATAACGGACAGATCAGTGTAAGGTAGTGTAAGAGTAATAAAAATAATAATAATAGAATTAATGGGGAAAACGGAAAAGCACAATCAGAAGAAATCTTCCAGTTAAGGAAGAAACAGCCATTTTTTTATGAAGAAAGTAAGAGGTTAAGGCAGGATCGCCACTGGCTTCTATTCTGAGCCATATCTGATAACGTCTCTAGCCACTGTTGCACCATCTCTCGGACCCCAGCCAGGGAATCGTGAAAGACCGATAGGAGCCAGCCCGTTGCAGCTTTCTTTCATACCCCGACACAATTTCATACACTGACCACTTCTCTGCTTTTTCCAACCAGTCCCAGTGTCGGAAAATAATGAACGACGAGGAATTCTCTGGGACGACATTCGGAGAACATGTCCGAGCCACCGAAGTCGGTGTTTCAAGATGGTGACATCAATTGAATTATCGCCTCTGCGCCCGAACACACGGTGCTAAACCTCTGGATTGCTGACATGGTGTTGCCACTGGATGTCAGTAATCCTTCGGAGATAGCGATGATCGAACACAGAAAGTCGTCTCACGTCCTCAACTCGGAGAGGCCAGGTTTCACAAGCATAAAGCAAGACTGCCGTCACCGACGCGTTGTAGATCCGACCTTCTACAGCCAGACTAACATCACGAAGGCGCCAAAAATGGCCCAGATTGGCATAAGCCGCTCTGACTTTCACTATACGTGCATTGATCTCATCACTCACACCCCCACCAGCACTTATGCAGCTACCAGATACACGAACTTCTCGACTACTTCTATCTGCTCACCATCCAGGGTGAGAACATGATTAGAATCCTGCCAGTCTTGTAGAAGTACTTTGCACTTCGAAGGTGCAAGCACATCCCATACCTACGGACACTGATTGCCAACTGATTAAGTGCGGATTGCATGGCTTGGGCACTATCGCAAATTAGGACAATATCATCCGCATACTCAAGGTCGAAAAGTCATTCTCCAGGCGACGGATCCACACCGCCATTACTTACATTCATCAGAGCTGTTTCCAGAATGTCATCGATGGCAAAGTTGAAGAGGAATGGTGAGATTGGGCAAACCTGTCTAACCCCACTGCTCGAATAGAACAATGGAGAAAGGTGGTTGTATTCCCCGACACTCTGCCTGAGGTGTTTGTATATAGGGCTTTTAGGATGTTAATGAACTTCTCAGGCACACCCTTCTTCAATAGACAATCCCAGAGAACAGTCCTGTCCAACGAATCGAAGGCAGCCCTAATGTCATGAAACACTACGATTGTTGGCCTTTGATAAATATGACGGTATTCTAACATTTGACGGAATGTGAAGATATGATCAATACATCCTCGACCAGAACGAAACCCAACCTGCTCCTCGCGAGTCAATCTTTCTCGGGTTTTGAGCAATCTACGAAGTTTGACGGAAGCCGATAGTTTGGATGCAATCGGAAATAGACTTATCCCCCGATATTTGTTACAGGAACGACGTGAACCCTTTTAAAAGATAGGGACAACTATCGACTCATTCCATGACGTTGGTACACTCTTTAGCTCCCAGATTTTTGTAAACGTCGTCAGTTTCTTAGACAGAAAGTCACCACCATCTTTAAAAAGGGTTGGAAGTTCCTTGCGGACTTCCGCCTCATTCTGTGGATCAGTCGTCACCGGCCATGGAGGGCAGGACAGTCCGACCGATGTTGTCGGAACAGCAGGCCAGTTGAACTGCCCTTCGAAAAATTCTGCCCATCGTCCAAGACGTCGATGGATGTTAATGATTGGCATCCCATCATCCTCGCAGATTGTTTCGCTCACACCAGACTTCTTGCTGCCAGTGGCTCGGATGAGTTGGAAGAGCTTCCGGTAGTTACCAGATGCAGCTGGTGCTTCCAGCTTATTAGCACGCTTCGACCATCAGGCTTCTCGGTCCTTACGTAAGCTGTGCTCAATTTCACTACGTAACAACCTTCGTTTGCGGTCAAACTCACGGTCAACTGGAGTAGACCGACGGGTCTCGATGAGTTGTAAGGAATCAGAAGAAACCCAGTGCTTATAAGCGGGACGTTTCGCAAGCCCACAACTGACTGTACCCGCCATTTTCATGGCGT